TCTCTCTCTCTCTCTCTCTATCTGGAAATGCGAAGAACTTGAATAGGCGGTTTTCAGAAATGAAAATGGAAATTCAAGCAAAGTTCCGGGTGAAAATTGTGAAAGTAGAACGTACTTGCACGATACTCCACGATTTCAGAATGGTTTCCGGGGAGTTCATATATCTAGGAATTTATTATACTTTCATTCAATCTGCCCCAAGTTTAACAATACAAACGGTAGCTACTTAGAGGTATCATATTTTTCGAACGTCTTTATCATTCTGTGAAAGGATAATCTTTCTCTTAGGGCGTTCTCATGAAAATCGATCGTGAAACGACTCGACAAAAGGAGCGAGAAGCCACCTAATTTTCAAAGTTGCGCCGCGAATGAATGAACGAATGAAAGAACGAAAAGAAAGGGGTCGAAGAGAAAGGAAATCTTATTTTTATCGAATCTTATCCTCCACCAGTATTCCACTATTCTGAAAAATCGAAACTTTCATTCAAATCCTTACAAAAGTTTTAACAAGCAATTTAAAACAATGGTTTCTTCTAACAAGTGACATCATTGAAAGGAGACAATTGAACGTAATATTAATCGATAATAGTAGAAATCACTAGAATCTTTCATCCTTCGTTTTCTCAGCGAAAAAAATTCCATTCCTCCTTAATAATCGCAACCATCTTTCTTACCATATCCATAAAAAAAGGCGAGCCATGCATAGAAATCGGCCGATCTCTCCCAAGTTCGCAACCCTCCTCTCCTTTGGACGAAATGCAGTGAACGAAAGCACGAAAAAAAAAAAAAAAACAATTTCCCCGCGATGCATCCGATATTAGCGCAGAGGGCTGAACGCAGGGGACGATGAATTTCCCAGTGAAATGGATACGTCGCGTCTAACCGAATTTATTCAAATCCCCGTCGTTCCGTGGCCGCAATAAGCCACCCCCCGTACACCCCCATGCTTCCATGAATAATGCAACGCGCGAGGGGAACACACCTCCCTTCTTTCGCGCTTAGACATCGAAGCCAGCCGTAAGAGGCGCAAAGTGAGCGCACGATTCTTCTAAGAACTCGTATCGGTGACGGAGAATGGCGGAGATGAAGATTTGCCTTATACGCCGCGTGAAGCGCAGTTGACACACTTTCCATCCACCGATCGATACGTCACCCACACCATAGACGCGTAAGAAGATCATTGTGGGCTGTCGACAAGATGTAGCAGAGAGAGAGAGAGAAAGGAGGGAGGAGGAGAGGAGGAGTTTAATTCGTAATGGTGTATTCTCCGGGAATGGTACAAGTATCGATCGTGACAGAATCGCTGTTGCAGGTCGCCGCGTTAATGCAACGACAACGTCGATCATCGGAATTGCTGAAATTTCGACAAGTGGCTGCTTCGAAGGGAACGATTATACGAACGATGCTGTTCGATCCTTGCAACGATTGGTTAGGTGTTGCGATCTTCATGTTTGTCGAGAGTCTTTATTCTACTTTTCACGGTTTTGATACTTTTTTTCGTTGATATTTGATCACCCCAATTCGCAAGTTTTGATTCGTCGATATTGGATACGTTTGATATCGTGGTAAATGATGAAAAGTTCATTAAAGCGATTGGATATCGTTTATCGGATCGTGCATATTTTAGAGATTTACTTTACGGGTCGGTTATATATTGATTTATCGATATTGCGCGTCTCTGTTGCGTTGAGTAATAAACGGGAAAATAACAATGTCATCGAATAATGAATAAATAAATTTGTAATAAGCGATCGTAATAAATAAACGAATGTAATTGAATGCAACAACATCGCGATTTGTTATTACGACCATGCTTTGGCAAATATATATCATCAAGAGTTTCTATATATATATATATATATATATATGGATAATGGTAAAAAGTCATTTATCAATTATGAAACGTCTATTGTTGCGAATTAAAATCTCTTCCTCTTCTTCGATACGTGCAATATATATATCGCAGAGTACGTAGTTTCAACGGGAAATACAAATGAAAAGCAAAACGTTGTACAACCCTCTAAAATCTGCATTTACACAGGCAGTTATGTTGCACGACGCGACGTTTGATAGATTGACTGCATTTTACGCGCGATCTTGATGGATCGCCTGGCCGCCGTCTGCTCTATCGTCCAATTCACCACGGACGAGATCCTCTTGCGAAAATTCTTCGTCTAACTAACTCGAGGACGACGTTGCACGGATTGTTGCGGAATCCGACTTTTAAACTTAACGACAATCTTAACCGGTTAATAGGATTTCACGCGACTTCATCGCGAAATAAAATGGAAATTAGAGAGAGAGAGAGAGATTCGACTAATGACGGAAATAAACGTCGTTCATTCGCCAGTTACGTATATTATTTTCTTTCTTCGATTCTTTCTTCGAAAAAGACATCTCGATGAATTCATCGAGCTTGCTAAGTTTCTTATCCTCGTTTCAAAAGTATTCATAAATAATTCTTTGCAATTCTTTGTAATTCTCATAATAATGTAAATAAATTTCCAACTTTTTAAAACCTCTTCAGCTTGTAATAATTTCCTTTAGAGGATAATCATTCGATGAGAAACGTTTCAATAAGGAAGAGGGAGAAGATGACGATAAATCTTGGAAACGATTCCACCGTTTTTCAACCGTTCCAGTTCGAGACGTTAGGATGGAAGTGCAGCGTATGGCATCAATGATGCCATATTGAAATCGATCGACAATTTGATTTCAAATTCAATCGTTTTCATCCGTTCTTCTATATGTTTTTCTATTCGTTCGTTTATTAATATTGCATCATATTGCATCATATTGTCGTAAAGATTTATATTAATAAACGAAGGATATTAAAAAAGGAAAAACAAAGAGACGAGAGTTCAAAGAAGCTAGAAGCTAGAAAAAAACTTCATTAACGCAGATTAAGTAACGAGATTTGGTCTTGGAAGCTTACCTTTCACCTGTGAAAGGTTCCTTCGAGTCCTTTTATATTTAAATAAGCGTGAATTCAACACTCGCAGTCGTTCAATCGGTGAATTACCTTATTAACGAATAATTTAATTGCTATAACGTTTGGGCTCGGATAAGAAAGTAATTCGAGAGTTAAGCAGAGATTAGTCGCTACTGGAGGAAACATCTGATTTTAAGGTTGAGGCGGTGGGTAATTGCAAGATTTAATACCATCTTTGGATTTGGAAATTATAGATTTGCGTTTTAATTAAAACTCGGTCCGTGATTAAAAATTTTCTTTGAACATGTCTTTGAGAAGCTTTAAGAAAAGAGACGTTATTAAACGTTATTTAAAATTAAAACATTTTTGGTGTACGATTAAAATCAGATTCTTTTTTTTTCTTTTTGAATTCAAACGAAACGAAAAAATCTCATCGGTCGATTAATTAAATCCAACTTTTACTTTTTTTCCCCTTTTTCTTTCTTTTTCTTATAACTAATCCCTTTTCTTTCCTCTCAAACGCTCTGCATACATTTGCCCCAAACGCAGCCAACTGTATTTACCGAGAAAGTAATCGAACACTTATCCGTCAATCAATAAAAGTTAGCTATCGACCTTTGCGAGTATTCGAGTATCTTTCATCTAAACCAGCGTCTCTCAACCTTTCTTTTATTATCCCTTATATACGTAATAATTTTCTTTTTTTTAACACAAGATAAACATTTATAAAAATTCCTACTCCAAAATTATTACTTTACGAATATCGACCAGTATCCGCCGTTAAAAAATTTTATACAATAATAAAATCTTTGCTTTAGATTTAGATATAATCCGTATTGACGCATTGAGAAACACTGAAAGCAAGTAAAAATCAGAAAAAGAAAAAAAACTCACCGATATTCAGAGCCCTCGCTGAGCTGCCTGACCGTAATAGGAAATTCGCTGGGTCCGTGTGCCTTCAGTAACTCCTGCAAACGCACCAGCCCTTCGTTATTCTCGTAGATGATGGTAAAGCTCTTCCAGCCCCAGGCTTTCACCAGATCAACGTACGCCTGAAACACGTACGCACACACACGCGCCGCTTATTAGCCGCGATCGTAACCCACGAACGACGATCCATCGTTTCAAATAGGGGATATATATATATATATATATACTTCACTTCTTCCGGCGATATTTATTTGATTCCTCTAAACTCGTTTGCGCACGGATTCTCGAAACGCGACTCGAATTTCAAAGGTGTAATGGACCGTGAGGATACACGCGACAACGCTACGCAAATGAGACCACGTTCCACGTTTTATAGCGATTGATTAATCAATTCGTTATTAAGGAAGATTGTTGGATCCGCTCAGGAATGTTTCGATAATACTTGTGGATCTAGTTATTCGATCGTATCTCGAGAGATATCTCTAAGAGATATAGAATGCGATTTTTCTTTTTTTTAGATTTAGAAAAGATTGAAAATTCTATCTTATGTTCGCGTTATGGATTTGAAATAATTTAGAGGGTCGAAATTAATTGTGTATGCGCTTAATGGATTAAAATATAATCCAAGCCCGATGATTCATTATTAACCAGTTGGATACGGATACTCGTGCAGCCATGGAAAATTTAAAAGGGAATATATACAGGGGATGCGAATATTATGCAAAAATGCATAAAATATTGAAGCAAAAAGCACTCGTTATAATTTTGATTTTATGTACATCCCATTTCCTTATTCGTATAAAAATATAAATCTTGCACGAACATCTACCGTTCATTAATTGGTAATATCTTTCCAGCTTTTCTGATAAATAAACGGATAAATCGTTGATGATTATATATATATATATATGTACTAATTTACACTTCAAATATTACAAATTTTAATCCGAGTTCGGTTTCTCGTTCGCCTCCGTTTGCCAAACTCAAATCGGTCACGGTGATTAATCCCAACAGAGGTGGTCAGGAGGAAGCATCCTCCAATTTACAGTTTTCACTTTAGATCCCATTAGAATGTTAGATTGCAATCTGACCCGATGAAATATCGATAACGTTACCCATAAATTGGAACTATCACGGAAGTTCTATAGACGCTATTATCGCTGCCATGAAACTCTATAAAATATCACAGCCGTACGCGTACCACGTTCTATCTCCGTGTTAGTGATATTTTTAATCATTTTCCAAGCTCCCTTCTTTCCCCCTGTTGTAAGGACGCCTGATCATCAACCATCACGAGCGCCAATTTTTCTCGATTTTTTTTCATTTCTACGAAAACGAGGAAGAATCATGGGGGAAATTCGTTCCGATTCCATTCTACGGAATCCACATAGGAATTTATATTATTCGTTACATTATCCTTAAATTTCCATTCTCGAGTATCTTCGAAGTTGAATGTATCGAGAGTTTGAAATTCGAGTGTGAAATTACACGTGGACCGTTTGTCCAAAACTATTAAACGAGCCAAGGATCCGAAGATACTGGAATATTAATTTCGAGGATACGGCGAGGGCGGGGAAATGTTAATAAACTCTCTTGTACTTCAGTTTCAGCTATTTACTCGCTGATCTAAGGTCAACTATTCTGCGGAGAGGTTTCCGAGAAGGGTTTTCTGGCGAGAAGAGGCGAAATTATAACTCGGGGAGGACAGAGTGGCGAAAGAAAAATGGAAAAATCGCAAAAAATTCTCGCCAGCTACCATTATCTTCCATTCCACCATTCGTGGAATCATCATCAATCATCTAAAAACTCACTGCTCGCGGACTCGTGTCTTTTTTCTCTTCTCCTGATAAACAGACTGCCAACTACCATTATCTTTCAACTTATCTTTGAACGGACTAATGTAACTCCACGGAAAACGTATTATTTCGCATACGGTTAAAAATCGGCGAAAATATCCACCGATATCCACTCTTACGTACGCAACCAACAATGATAAACGACATAAATTGCAGTATTGTCGGCCAACTACTTCGTTCTATCCTGTCGAAGGGATGAGAATCGTAATAGTTGAACTAGTTGTGTAATTTTACTTCAACTCAATTATTTTAACACTTGTATCGCTACCATTCATCTGAAATAAAATTCTAACGCGAAACCATCGATCGAATGAACCATTCGTTTCATTATAGATACACAACTTTCCTCTTCTCCCGCTCGCCAATAACGGAAAGTAAAACGAATTTATCCATAACGGATTCTTACTCGAAACTCCGCCTCTCGAGCAGATTTATACCCAAGTTTGGTCAGAAATTAGAAAATTCCTTCGTTTCGCTAATATCGATCCAAGCTGAAACCAGTTTCTCCCCAAACTAGGAAGAGCTTTCCCCTTGCTCGCCAACTGGCGCGACCGATGTTTCAAAAGTTAGCAAGGGCACGCGGCCATAGGTTTTTCCATTCAGAAGGGGGCGGTTCAGTTTCACGTGGAAAACGACTATTACGGCCAGCCGAGCCCAGCCCCCTCGACCAACTTCGCCACCGAGTTTCCCGCGAGGAGATCCGCGTAACTCGCGTTTCGAAACCCGCTTTTCCGATAATCCCAACTTCCTAAAAGCGCCGCTGTATATTTTCCGCCGAGCAACTTTCGCCCTACCGTTTCGCCTTCTTTCTCACCCCCTCCACACCCCCTATCCCCGATCTTTTCACTACCTATCCAGGGTGGTCTTGTACTCGTGCGCAAGCTCGTTTCCAAGATTTTATCCCGGATGTGTCTCGGCCCGAAACGCGCATGAATTCGAAGCTGAATCTCGAACCATTGATTGCCAATATTTGAAAGGATGCATCAATTTTGCCGCGGTTTCCCCCTTGTCGGGGACGAGACTCGACAAACTTTTCGCTCCGCTCTCATCTTTCCCGATCTTTTACTCGAGCTTAGCGAGAGAGCCCGTTTCTTTGACCGAGCTCTAACTTGTTTAATGGAGAGTTACTCCTCTTCCCTGGAGTTACTTTTGGGGAAAAAGCGCGAGCAGGGCGGGCCGATTAACCGAGATACAGGAGGTGTTTTCTTGCAACAGTGATCAGTTGGCACAAGAAGAACGCTGCGGGGGATCTAGAAAAAGTGTGTACATGGTCTTCTTTTCCTTTTCGGGAATGTTCAATTTCAAACGATCCTCTCACCGTAATCAACGAACGTCACGTCTTTTCAACGATTAATTAATATAGATTCTCCGTTTCGAGTGTTATTATACATTTTCTATATTTCTTTTTTTTTTTTTTGGAGAGATTATATATTATATATTTTCTATAAATAAGTATATATATATATATGCATTGGGTTTGGAACTCTTCTTGCCCTTTTTTAGTTTTTTCTTTTTTTTTTGTAGCCACAACGAAGTGCGCACCAGAAAAAGGATACATTCGAATTAATAGAGACTAGCTTGTTTAATTCTTTTGATTATAACGAGTAAGTAAAAATTTTGCTTGCTTAAACTATATATATAAAGAGTCTAAGCTGTTAACGGATTTACAACAATTTGTTTCCATAATTTAATATACACTGTAACTACGGGAAAGTAATAATTACACGGTATCGATCGGTTTCGAACGCCATTATATTCGAGCATCGATAATTAGAAAACAAATTAACGCAATGATATCGTAGAACGATGGCGTAGTAATTTCAGAAAATAGGCCAGGGCCGTTCTGATCGAAAAAATGCTCGTCGAGAATACGTCATAAACCTGATCGCGTTTAATGAACGCGTTCCACGACCTGCGCAAAGAGTATTAAATTCCTCCGGCGGCCATATCGTTCGTATTTTTCACGTTTTTATTAATATTTCAAAAATTAATAACCAGATCGACACCGCGACGATACTCGAATTAATTCCGATTATTATTAAATTATTAATCGGGGAAAAGTTTGCCGCCACTACTCGAAAAGAGTAGTGTTTTACAAGTGGAGCCCCGTAAAGCCAATATTTGAAACTTCACTTTGAAAGATAATCAAACAACAGGAACATTGAAGGATGCACGAATGCCGAAAATTGACTTCACGAGAGAAGCACTCGCCAAGTTTCGCCTCCATCCCTGTACACGTGTGTAGAGGAATGGACAGAAACAAGCGTTGGGAGAAAGTTGCAAAGTACGGAGACACTGTTGAATTTCTACACAATGTATACACACAGGATACACCTCGAGAATTCGTCGAAAGGGACGCGGAATATCTACATAGAAATTGGCCCATTAACGCAGAGAAAGGAATACAAAATTACCAACGTGAAAATATTGAATAAACCACGAACATCTATCATAGTAACAAACAAATTCTATTATCTCCAACAACCATCCGTCCTCAATTATCCCGCACCCTCCTTTCATCGATTCAAAATTTAATAATCCACGCCGTGTGTATCCATTAACGCACGAATTACACCTACGTAGCGCCTATCCAAACCGAGCTCAAGCGAAACCATTTCGAGATCTCGCCACGAGACTTACTTCAGATTTTCTCGACGCGAGGAGGAAACGCGAGGAATCGATGTAATGCGAGGATCGTGCGCACAGGCGATACGCGAAACGTGTTGAAAGCGTGTATGGAAATACGAAGGGTGGAAGGGTGTGTTTCGTTTCCGCGAGAAAAAAGGAACGAAACAATGAGAGTGGGTTATAAATCGGTGGGGGATCGGGATTATTCGAGGGTTTGCATGCCACGCGTCTCCCATAATCGTAGAAAATACGCTGTAAATCTGACCGCGACAATTGTTGCCCACCATCTCTCGCTCGAGCGTGTTCGGTTTTCGACGAGTACTGGGCGCAGAGTATGCGCAAATCGTGAGTCGAGCCTGGTCACGTTTTCCCGCACCCGATACACGTTGTATTTCCACCCTGGTAACTTGGTAGACCGACATCGTCTACCGACGGTTAATTTATCTTTCGCTGCTTTAAACGCTCTCGTTCTACGGATAGATCCAAAGCTTTGCGAATTATTTGATTGGGGCCTGTTCCACGCGGCCTGTCCTCGTTGCGGTTTCCTTCCAAACTTGTTCGATAAATTGGTTGGATAAATTTTGATCTTTCTTTGGTGAATTGATATTGGGATCATTATTCGAAAGAGTTTATCGATA